AATGATAGCACTGTTAACATATGATTCATCATTCCTTCTGTTTCTGATATTCAGATGTGAGTGCTATTGCTTTTGTAGTTAAAACAGCACTTCCCCCTTATAAATAGGAGGTATCAGCAGATTCAGGAGAACCCCACATTTTTCATAAGTACAAATTACCTTTAGGAAAAGCCTATCTTGAACAGGAACAATCCATACTGCAACATTTTGTTGCAGAACGCATGTATTGAATTACACGAAATAAAAACATGCAAGGGATTCTGTTTAATGGGAAGGATTGACAAATGTGCTGATGTTAAATGATCTTTTCAAGGATTTTTATGATCACACTGAATGAATAAGCCCCCTCTTTTGGCATGGAGCAGCTTTTGAAGATAGGTTCTCAAGACACTCTTAGGGATAACTAACATTAGAGAAAGAAATTCCAATCTTGACATCAATGAAAACCAGAAAGAGAAATTCAAAGGCAGAAGAGTTATGCTTTCAAAGATATTCTAAAATTCTGTCTTGTCTTGAAATTTTAAAAATACTGATTTCATTGTACTTATATGTTGCATCTCAGCATGCAGTACAGTCCTAGAGGGTAGCAAGAACAAGCATAGTGTTCACTGGAATGAACAAAGAAACATAAACTAATATGCTTGTATCCCACTCCAGTGAATTCAATGGAGAAAACAGGCAATTCTTTCCTTGCTTGGATGGGTGACAGTTCACAACTGCCAAGCTTTTTTCTAGCCAGGTTCTGGTATACCTATGTCAAAGTGGACAACAGAGCTTTGTTGTGAGCAGTTAATTTACTGTATTCATAAACAACTTCAAAGCGCCCTTGAATTATGTGTATGGTTTTTCTGCCACAGGTATAGAAGAATTCCAGTTGCCCCCCAGAAGAGAACAGAGTAGGTCAGTAATTATACTCATGGCCTTTCTTAACCTTAGATTACAAGAAATGTGAAGTAATGAGAAAGCAAATATCAGACACATGTAGCTTAATACTTTTCTTGAAATATCAAGCAGTGGCCCATATTAAAGCCAAGTTTCACAATTACATCTGCAGTTGCTTGTACTGTCCTATTCTGAGTACCACTTAGAATGCAGTCAATTGGTAATGCAAGATTGGACTCAGACCCAGAATGAGTCATTGGGTCATTCTGTTCTGGACACTTAACTTTAGGCCCTCCGTGTAGAATGCATGCATACAGGCTTGCACATCTTGTAAACTCAACCAGTTCTGTGTGAGACACTAGGACGTAAAGGTCAATATGAGATACTATTCCTCAAGATTGATATTTAAGTTGGGCTGTTGTTTCTTGAGCATTTGATTTGTTAAATACCAACCCTTCCCCATGTATTGGGAGTGAGGAAATGATCTGTGCTTTCCAGGTTCTTGACTAGTATATTTTCCAAAAATGTTCACCAATCACAAGACTAGACTTGCATCTCAACTTGGCACTTAAAAATTTGACCCAATTTGCCATGGAATCGATTCATGTAATCAGAAAGTATTAGAGTTGGAAGGCGCCAATAAGGCATTTCGGTATAAACCTCCTGCTCAGTGCAGGACTCTAAGTTAAACTATCCCTCTCAGATGGCTGTCCAGCTGCAATTTGAATGCCTTTAAGTGTGAGAAAGCCCACAGCCTCCCTACGTAATTGATTGTTGTATTGCTGGAACAGTCAGGAAATTCTTCCTGATGTTTAGATGGATCTGGCTTAGTATAACTTGAGCCTATTATTCCATGTCCTGCACTCTGGGATGATTGAGAAGGGATTCTGGCCTTTTTCTGGGTGACAACCTTTCAATAACCAGCTTATTTTTCCAGTCTTCAGTTATTGGATATTCTGCCATTTTCATTTAGAAGCATTTGTAATTCTTCCTGCAGTTGTCATACATTTAAGTAACCCTGACATATTATTTGAGAAAGTTCTGGCATTATGTTCAGAAGCATATTCTTCTTCTTATAGACTACCATATCTTTATTAAGTTCTTAGTACATGAGTATTATTTGATGTCAAGGCCTTTTTAGCTGACACTTTGGCCCATAAATAATTATGTATTTCTACTTCAAGATCTGCTATTTCTAGCTGCACTAGCCTAGCATTAACACTTGTAATCCAGTCTGATACCCAAACCAAGTCAGCGGCATAGTAATACAGCTTTAAATTAGGTACTGCCAGAGCTCTCTCTTTTTCTTCTTGAAGAATTTTAACTCTAATCTTTGTCTTTTTATCATTCCAAATAAAAGCATTCAATTTTCTTTGCCACTCTTGGAGAGTTTTTCTTGGTATAAAAATTGGTGGTATCTGAATTCAATTTAGGTAATATATTCATTTTTATAATAGAAATCCTTCCCAGCCACTTTTAATTTAGTCCATTTTTGTAAATCTTTTTGAATCTTCATGTTATTTTATAATTATCTTGAAATAATGCATCTTAGCTCCTGTTATGTTTATCCCTAAATGTTTGACCAGATTTGAAGCATCCTGAAGTCTTTTTTCTGTTTCATTGTAAACTTTATTTTTCATTTTCTTATTGATCTTATAGCCTGAATAAAATTCATTTTTTTCAGCTTGATCTATTATATACTGTATAGTTTGATGTGGATTTAAAATGGACAAAACTATGTCATCAGCATAGCATTTCATTTTGTATTCTTCTCCATCTACTTTTAAGCATTTAATTTTTGGGTCATTCTTATTTTTGTTTGCTTAACATTTCCAATACAGGAAACTGTGGTCCCCAGAACTGGATGCATTACTCCTAATGAGTAAAGGGGAACTAGTATTTCACTAGATTTACTTATTATGTATTATTAAAAGCATTTTTATCCTGTCTTTTACCAAGTCTCAGGATGCAGAATAAGCACAGCATCAAACAACAGATAAAACCCATTTTTAAATCTACACCAAATCTTATAATATTTGGAAATTGAAAAGAGTTTGGCTTGAGAAATGAATAAAGTGTTGGCGCCAGGCACATCTGAGGAGCATATTCCAAAGCTGAGGCACCAGTGCAGAGAAGACCCTTCTTCTGGTAGCCACTTTTCTGATCTCCTTCAAAGAGGGCTCCCAGGGAGGGCCTCTGACCCAGATCTTAGAGGGCAGGCAGGTTTATATGGAAGGAGACGTCCCTTCAGACACCTAATTGGGAAGCTAGTGCAGGTGATTAAGGACTACTGGTGTTATATGTGCATATCTGCCAGTCGCTGTTAACAGCCTGGCTGCTCTTTTCTGAACCAACTGAAGTATCAGGACCATCTTCAAGGGCAGCCCAACATAGAGCATGTTATCATAGCCCAATCAAGAGGTTAATAGAGCATGGGTAACTGTCACTAGCCTTTGCTCATCCAAGTAAGGGCATAGTTGATTGACCATCCGAAGCTGGAGGAAAGCACTCCTCACCACAGTAGCCACCTGGGACTCCAAGGATAACTCTGGGTCAAGGAGCACTGCCAAACTACATCCTCAGGGGGAGTGCAGCCCTGTCCAGAACAGACAAAGATCACTTACCTGGAAAGACGAACCACCTACCAACAGGACCTCTGTCTTATCTGAATTAGGCTGGATGAAGGCCAATAAACTTATCACACTGGTCAGATACTGGTCAAGGACAGCCATTGCCTCACCTGGATTAGATGTAAAAGAGAGGTAGAGCTGGGTGACATCAGCATACCAGTGACTCCTCAGCTCAAACCTTCAGATGACCTCTCCCAGTGGTTTCATGTAGATGTTGAACAGCATGGGGAATAAAATAGAGCCCTATGGAACTCCATGGCATAACTGCCATGTTGCAGAGCCATAATCCCCCATCTCCACCTTCTGGAATGGACCAGCCAAGTAGGAGTGGAACCACTGCAAAACAGTGCCTCCAATCCCCAACTCAACCAGCCTATTGAGAAGGATACTATGGTTGATGGTAACAAAAGCTGATGAGAGGTCCAGGAGACCCAACAGGGATGCACTCCCCCTGTTCCTTTCCTTGCACAGGTCATCGTACAGGGCAACCAAGACAATTTCAGTTCCATAACCAGGCCTGAAACCAGACTGGAATGGATTCAAATGGTCAGTTTCCTCCAAGAGAGTCTGGAGTTGTCCAGCTACCACCCGCTTGAGCACTTTGTTCAAGAATGGGATATTTGCTACTGGACTATAATTGGACGAAATCTTTGGGTCCAGGTTTGCCAACTTCAGGCCAGGTCTGATCACCATCTCTTTTAAGCAGGGAAGGAACCTGACCCTCCTTCAAAGAGGTGTTAACAACTTTCTGGACCCAAGTACTCATCCCATCCTTGACTTTGGTGATCAGCCATGAAGGGAAAGGGTTTAAATAGGTGATGGGATGGATTTGTCCAGGCACCTTGTCTATGTCCTCTGGCCATAATAATAGAAAGTTCTGGGAAAGGTTGTCACAATGAGCTGCTGCTGGTGTGACGGGATCTGTCTTAGGCCCAGAGTATAAAGGCCCTGCACCACCTGAAAAAGCTCTACAGCCCCTGCTTCTCCCACCCAGGTCTCCATGATACATGCCAGGTCTGCCCCTTTATCCAGGATTAGATCATGGATAAGGGGTGTTTTGTTTTGGGCCAACCTGGCATTCAACAATGGCACCACCAAGCCTGAAGGGTGGTTGACACCACCACCAGGTATCAGTTGGTTGGAAGAGAAACCAGAAGAGGGGACAGATATCAGCCATCTGCCCCCCCTTCTTCTGCAATGACCTGTTAAACCCCCAGTGCCATACCTTCCCCAAATATCATTTGGAAATCTATTAATGCAGCCCAAAATAGATTTGTCTTTTCTGAGTATTATAGGAAAATAAATAAATAAATAAATATTAATTGCCTCCTGTTTGTCAGAAGTGGATGAAATTTGTAAATATAATAGCCTCTTAGGGAGGGATTATGCCTGTCATATTTCAAAAATAAATAAATAGGTGCAGTAGTTTTGTGCTGTTGTGATTTTATTTTTAGGGGAATGTTGGTAACTTTTTTTTTAATTCTGCAGCAAAATTGGATGAAACTTACTGCCTCCGAGGAATCATGTCTGCCAGTTTTCAGATGAATAAGTGCTGCGATTTTTATGCAAGAACAGCTGCGTCATTTTGAGGATAGCCATAAAAGGGTGTGCTTATCCCTGTGTTTCTTGTAGACTGGTCTTCTGAAAATGACACAGCATAGAGTTGACCTGCAGTTTAAACAAACAAAAAACCCTACAGATTTTAAGAAAAATTGGTGCAGGGGTTTGTGTAGGAGTTTTCATAACTGGAGGAAGTGATTTATTTTATCTTTCCTCTCACTCATTTTGGGGGCAGTTTGTTTGAAAATAGAATACAGGCCGTCCCCAAGTAATGAACAACCAATACTTATGAGTGAACTGCCATAAATCCTATTATTTTTTTAAAAAAAATACTGTGGAAAATTGACATTATCATAGAGAGAGGAAGTGAACAGGGAGAGTGGCCTCCAAAGCATCACCATAGAGAGAGTAGAAATAAAAGGGGAGAGAGGGAGGGCCTCTGAAGCATGTCTTCCTGACTTCCGGGAAAGTTCTCCAGTGTTTTGTTGTCGCAAAGAGGAGGTGCTGATGAGTTTGGATGGAGTGGAGGCTAGAGATATTCATGCTTTTCAAGTGATATTCCGCTTTATGGGGGTCCTGCACTGCTAACCCCTGCGAATGTGAAAGACCCACTATATATGGTCTAATTTACATATAAATTTGACTAAAAGACGAATTTCTATTTTCTCAGGAACAGAACTCATTCGTAATCCGGGGACTACCTGTACAACATAGAGATGTCTCCAGGCAAGGAATCTGCAATATTTCAGAAAGACAGAGGCAGGGGATACGGAGTTATGATGATTCAAAACCAATAGAAGGCTTTTTTCATGCTAAACTTTGGCCTGTTGAAAAATGGCCATCCTGTGGTCCAATTCTTACCCTAATCCAAAGCACAGTGATTAGAAAGGCCCTGATCATACATGCTGTATGATTAGGAGGTGAATTTGTCAGTCATTCAACCCCCTCCCTCCACCCGTAAACAGTGTTTAAAGAAAACAATCAAAAAGTACTATTCTTGTTTAAAGAAAGCAAGCAAAAGGTACTATACTTCCTAGCTTTCTGAAGCAAAACCATGAACAAAGCTTCATACAGGGATAAACCTCTGTTCTGCCCACTTTGGAGAGAAGCCTGCTTTGCTTCATGGAGCACCAGAAACTATCTTGAACGGGGTCTCATCTGGCTTGGGATTTGATCAAATCTAATGTTTGTCCCTTGTATTTTCCATAAAGTATTTTCATTCTAGTGGTTCATAGCTCTCATCCTACAAATGGATTTTTAGAACTGACAGTATTGTCAGATTTTTTTATATCATTATTATTTTTTACACTCATTAGTTCTTTGTTATATTGTCAGTATATTAATTCTCTATAATCTGTTGGTCTGCACATAAGCGGCTGCAGAACCCTATTAGATTAGGAATGCATTTATCTTAAAAGGGAGATGGACACTGAACAGTTAACTGTATAGAGAGAAAACACTGCAGAGTTTTGGCTGTAGTTAGCTTGGGAAGTGACGTCTTACAGCATTTGCTGTTCTAGAAAGAGCTGAGACACGTAGTGTAATTGGGAGGAATCTTAGTGGCAGTATCTCTGCCTCAGTGTATATTTATCTGTATAAGTGACAAGGGGTCTGCCTGCTGCTACAACTACAGCTCTTGTGACTTCTGTTAACGCTTTTCCAGCAACATCGTATAGCTGAGATACAGGACTCTTTTATATCAAGGGGAATAAACTTTTTGAACATTCAAAATGGGGAAGGATTATTATTCCGTTCTTGGAATTGAAAAGGGGGCATCTGACGAAGACATCAAGAAAGCCTACCGAAAACAAGCCCTTAAATGGCACCCAGATAAGAACAAATCTCCCCATGCAGAAGACAAATTCAAAGAAATTGCAGAAGCCTATGAGGTGTTGAGTGATCCCCAAAAAAGAGAAATATATGATCAGTATGGAGAAGAAGGTAAGCTAATTTTCTACATCTTTTATTTTACATTGAAACAGAAACCTTTTTAATCAAATGTGTGGAAAAAGCAGGTTTGACCATTTCATTTTAGTAACTTAATTTGAAGATCCATGTAAGTCATGCTCTGAGAGTCTGTAATATGCACTAATTTAGGGTATACATTTTGTTTCAAAGGTATCTTTCATTCACCTTTTAAAATGCACGATTGACCCCTAATAAATTTCTTCTTGCAAGAACTTTTGCAATACTGTGTTTATACAAGCATACTGTATGGCTTGTTTAATGGGTTTATTTTGTCCCACCATTTCAGGCCGACACAAAATATCATCAGGATGTAATATCCCATATGTTTATTATATAAAAAGCTTGCATTAAAAGATCATCTTTCTTAGACTGGGTCTAGGTGTCCATACTTTGGCTACTATTGGCATCTTGCCTGAGAAGGAAAGAATTTTCCTGATGTCATGAAATACCAGGACTAGTTTTCAGCTTAATTGTAAACAGTGCAAATGTGCCAAGAGATTGAGAAACAGTGAGTTTAACCTAAAACAGTTACTGTAAAAGATACTTTTAGTTCAGATTGCTTCTCAGAATGGAGTTGCTGCTTTTATGGTTTAAAATACTGTTTGAGATTCTGAGCCAGCTTTTATTCTGCTGACGAAGTTGACTTCCTTGCAGCCATTGGATACTTGTTTTTAGCAACATATTCTCTCAGTGTAACAGAACTGGTCATTTTAAAAGAATGTGCTTAAGACCTAAGGAACTATTTAAAACAAGTGAACTGATCTTATGGTGATGAACTACTATGAGAAAATTGCATTTTTCAGAGATCCATACAATATAAATGATAAGTTGCGATTTTGCAGTTCCAGGATTGCAATTTCTCTTATACTCTTTGGAGGTATACAACATTCTGTTCTGTTTTATAAAAACAAAAAGATGGTTTTATTCTTAAAGTCAAAGGTCGTTGTTCTTCAGACATTTTTCAGGCCCTCTTTCAGTCCAATTGTCTATCCCTAGACTCTTATTTCATTTTTCATATGGCAGTATGTGATTTCTGATTCCATTATCACTTCATTGAATAGCAAAATTGACTTGATCTCTTACTACAGGAAATTAAGGTACAGGAAGCAGAAGGAAATGTCACAAAACTTAAGTGCATTTATAGTATTTGTATATAATGCATAAGTGTCAATATCTTTAAGGAGCTGATGCAGCTGTGAATCTGGGTGACAGTTAAAACTTTGATGCTATCTAAGGTTCATTTTAATAGCTATGGAACCTGATGTCCTTTCAGCAAAACCTATCCATTATCTATTCTAGGAAGTGTCATTCCACCAAGCAGATGGTATGTTTTGTCAGCAGGCTTGGCATTACCCATTAGTATATTTAGATGTAAATTAAGACTAGGGTTAAAATTCAAAATCCCAATTTAACAGGAGTGTTCACAGTTTTTAAGATTATTATTTCTGAATTTAGAGAAGGAATTTGGGTTCTGGTTTGCTTGTTCTAAGTTGATAACAAAATAAGTCCCTTAAAATTTCAGAATATAGTTGAACTATATAGTCTTTCTCATTTGCTGTGTGAAAAAAAATTGAAAATAAATTCATCCAATTTGGGTAAAATGGGCGAAACCCTATGTTATCCATGGGATTATATTTATGTTCTGCTCTACTTATGCAACAAAGTTTCCTCTTGTCTCTCCCCACTGCAGTCTCCTGCATGTCCTCCAGAATGGATTTGGGGCATATGCAAGGAGGTGAAGAAAAGGAAGGGAAACTGCATTCAGCAGTAGTGTTTATACTGTTAGTGGAAGGGCACTGCTGGATACAAATTTATATTCCCAATTTGGGGAATTGAAATTTCATGCTGAAGAGTAAAATTATATACACATGTACTTTACCCCAACATGCAGTCTACCCTCTGCCCTTTCAACATGTGCTGTAGAGGATTGGGAGATCCCCCAGAGCAGATCTTCAAGGTGGGGTTGGTTGTAGGATGAGCAGGGGAAAAAAACCTCTTAGTGCAGTGTTGAATTCTACCCTTAGATGTGATAAAAAATGTTCATTGTGTTGCTTGGGTTTTGTATTTTCATAGATAAAGAGTAGTCAGCTTTATTTATTCAACTTATATTCTAACTAGGCCGAGGACTCTCTAAGTGGATTACAACATTTCACATAAAAACAACATCAAATTTTAAAACACATGAAAACAACATACAATAAAACAGACAATATGAAGCTGAGGGGTCAAATATCAATAAGTTAAAATGAATTAAAACAAAAATCAGTCTAAATAACATAAAATTAAACAATAGATAATCAATTGTAAAAATGTCTGGAGAAGAGGATTGTTTTTGCCTGGCGCTGAAAAGATTGTAAAGATGGTGCCAGGTGAACTGCTTTGGAAAGCCATTCCATAAATGGGATTTAACCACTGAGAAGGCCTCTCTTCTAGTTGCTCTCCTCTTCAACTCCTTGAAGGATGACTCTCTCAGACAGGCCTCCTCATCTGATCTTATATTATGTATAATCACTGCAGTGTTGTATGTCATTAAAAAAGCTTATGACTTTGTTATCAGCTATTGCTGCAAGGTTGTGGGCCACTGCAAATTTTTTACATTGGATGGGAAACTTGTGGCTTTCCAAATGTTGTCAGAGTATACTGAGCCACCTCATACCTGACTTATAAATGGTCAGGTATTTGAGGGGGGGGGTTACTCCAATAATATCTGATGTGCCACAGGTTCCCCAACTCTGTTCCAAAGTATGCCAGGAGATCAGAGTGGTACCAGGGTGGCGCGGTGGCTACAGTGTTGGACTAGAGCTCTGGAGATCTGGGCTCTGTTCTGTATTCAGCCATGACGCTCACTGGGTAACTTTGGGCCAGTCACTAATGCTTAGGCCAAACCTCCTCATAGGGTTGTTGGGAGGATAAAATTGAGAGGAGGATCAAGAAGTTGCATCAGATCCCGTGTAACAGGGAAAAGATGGGAATATAAATGTGTTGATTTTGTTATTACCAATAGATTAGCTGATGGGTTGGATAAGGATACAAAACTACAGAGAGGCCATCTTGGTATTAACCTGTGGGTGTTACGAGTGCTTGCTTTGTGTTAAAGCGGGGTAAACAACTGCCTTGATGTTTTGGGTTACAATCCTCATAATCCTTGAATAATGGCTATGATGGCTGGAGAAGTAATACTCCAGAATTTATAGAGGGCCCAGTTCCCTAACCTGTGCTAAAACAATGGCACATAGAGAAACTTTGTTGGGACTGTCATCCCATTAACATATTGATTTTTTATCTGTTTAACCATCATGGCTTCTCCCAAATAATTGTGGGATTTGTACAGATGGTAGGGTAATGTGAATTATTTTTTGCATATTAAACTTACTTGACTGCATGTTTACTTAAGTTTCTAATATGATATGAAAAGACAAGCTCATTTTAAAAAAAGAAAGAAAAAATATTAGAGATCCTTAGTCAGTGCAGATATTCAGGGCAGTGTTTTAATTTTATATTAAAGTGTTAAATAGATATATCTGTAGTCTTCATTCTAATGTGTTGTCTTGAACTCTTCAATACCGATATGCTCAAAATATGAAAAGATTTGTATTTCAGTCAATATGTAAATAATAAAAAGGAAGTGTGCTGAGTAGTATTGAGCTAGAGCATCTAGCCATTGCCACCTTACAAAACAACCATATGGCCCTTAGAGAGCATCTGAAGGGTCACAAGATACTAAAGGTTCCCAGGTCCAAGAGACAGTGCTGTGGACTGGCCAAACCCTCTCCTCAATCCCTTTCCAGCCAGAACAGAAAGCACCATGCTAGATTTGGTCTGAGGCTGGAAATCCAACTACAAAGAGGGCTTAAAATAGTCATTTTGGGTCAAGCTGTGGAGTAGGACAGGCAGGGTATAAAGTATCCCACAGTTCCTTCAGCCTTTCCCCTCCCCTCTGTATGCCATCACTGGATAACTAAAAACAACCATCTAATGAAAGCAAGAGGATTTCAGACCTTTTCTGTACCCCTTCTCCTGCACAGCCAGCATGGAAAAGTGGTGTTGCTACCTCTCCAAGTTTGGCGGGGGGGGGGGAACCTTGGGGAATAGCAAAAGGGGTGGATGTCAGAAGGAGAAAATGAGACTGGAGAGGCCACGATGTGAGCTTTCCTGGGGTCTTTCCAGCCTCTTTCTCGCCCCTTCCCAAATACCTTTGCTAGAAAGCCAAAAAAGCCCATCTAACAATAATGCAGGGTGGGAGGACAGGGAGGCGAAGATCATCTCCACTGGTTCTCTCTTTAGTGACTTATCAATGCACTAGGCTGAGCAAATCACAAATCTTTGGAACATTCAAGTTAGGAACCCTAGCTTTTCTTCCTGAACAAGCCAGAATCATAAGTTCTTGGTTTATAATGCTGTTTGTCTGGAGTGGGACAAGACAGTATTCCTGATTTGCATGTCACTTTGCAGAAAGCATGACTGGAGGTTCATGATTTCTTTATCCATCCCTGCTTGTATCAGGAAGGAGTGTAATGCCTTATTCATGATAATGTGCTATTTAAGTGCAACCGCTATGGATGTTTGTTTCTGAGAAGCAGATATGAGTTAGAACTAAATCTACAGGCCTAAGCAAAGCCTACTCAGTTGTTTTTTAGATAGAATACAAAGCTGAGAAAATTTTTAAATTTAGTAAGGATGTGTAGGTGAAATTAATCACAGGGAGTAGGTGGGTGCCATAGTGTAGGAAGAAATGGCAAGCTTGAAATAGTCAAGGTAACTGTCAGCATAAATGTGATAGCATAACTTTGTACGTTCTCTTTATAAAGCTCAGTTTTTGCATGGTTTGTAGTACTTCTGTGCTTTGTGGTCTCTTCGGCTACAATCCTATCCTCATTTACTTTAGGAGTAAGTCCACTTAAAGTCAGTTGGACCTAGTTCCAAATAAGTGTGTGCATTATTGGACTGTGCTGTATATGATGCATAGTCTGATCTTAATTTTGTTTGCTTAGACTTATTTGAGCCTTATAAATAAGCCTCAAAGAGTTATTGGTTTGAAAAAATTACTCAGTAGCCTGCATTCCATGTTGGCTACAGATGAATTAAATACAGGGCTGGCTTACTCCCAAGGAAGTATTTATAGGGCTACAGCTTAAGATGGCTTCTAGCATGCCTCAGCGAATGTCACTATTTAAGATGGGCATTACTAAACTTGTTTGTACCTTTTTGTAGGACTAAAAGGAGGTGCTGGAGGACCAGATGGGCAAGGAGGTACCTTCCGCTATACCTTTCATGGAGATCCACATGCTACATTTGCAGCATTTTTTGGTGGTGCAAATCCTTTTGAAATCTTCTTTGGTAGAAGGATGCCTGGTGGCAGGGATAGTGAAGACATGGAGGTGGATGGAGATCCTTTTGGTTCATTTACTACTTTTGGTATGAATGGATTTCCAAGAGAAAGAAACACTGTTGGTAGCCAACCCCGCCGAAAGCAAGACCCCCCTGTTATCCATGAACTCAAAGTATCATTGGAAGAGATTTACCATGGCTGCACAAAAAGAATGAGAATTTCCCGAAAAAGGCTCAACCCAGATGGTAGAAGTGTTAGAACAGAAGATAAAATCCTTACTATTGATATCAAGAGAGGATGGAAAGAGGGTACCAAAATTACATTCCCCAAAGAAGGTGATGAAACACCCAACACCATCCCAGCTGATATTGTTTTTGTCATTAAAGATAAAATACATCCTCACTTCAAAAGGGATGGCTCAAATATTGTTTACCCAGTAAAGATAAGCTTACGAGAGGTGAGTACCTTGTTAAATTTTGTAACTCTATTGTTAAAACTTCATAACTTTTTGGTTGGGCTTTTTACAGTCAGGGTTGAATTAAATTTGATGTAGCCCATAGGTCAGATGTGGACAACTTGTGGCCCTCTAGATGTTTTTGCCTATAACTTCCACTGGCCCTAGCCAGCATAGCCAGTGGTGGAGGATGATAAGAATTATAAGGCAAAACATCTAATGAGCTGGAAGTTCTTCACCACTGCCATACCTGATGTGTTCTGTTTATACTTTAGAAATGTGAGCATCTGTTTAGGCATCAAAACATTTATGATGGGTAGTTTATTTGTACTGTGTGGAAGAAGGACAACCACAACTATAAGATGACATAAACACATAATGTTTCAAGTTAAGCCTGTATTTCACCAATGTCTGTAGGCTGAGCATTCTGTGCTTCTCCCATCTACATTGCCATTGTCCATTATACCTGTAATGAAAGACACAGGTAAGCCTGCTTTCAGCTCAGTAGGAAAGTTTTCTGATCCTCCTTTTGTCATTCCTTGTATTCTTTGAATCTTTGTAGAGTGAAGGTATGCTGTTATAGTAAATTATGGTAGCAAATTCACAAAGCTTCTTCAAACAATACAGTGAATATAAAAACAAAACCAGAAACTGAACATGAGAGAGCAAAAAGTGGGAAAGTACCCCAATAAAGTATGTAAGAAATATTGTTTTGGTTTTTGTGTGTTTGTTTGTTTTTGCAAATAAGCCATTTCTATGTAAATGCAGGATTTGTTTTCCTTCTACTTTGGTAGCTCTTGAGTAGTTGACTGCACCTGGTGTTGCTCTACAAAACAGCACTGTATCAGTATGAGCAGCAATAAGCAATGCTAAAATGGTTTGGATGTAATGTTAAACAACACAATTGGATAAATGCATTCTATAAATTAGTATTATATTTCTTAATATATCCACAATATGTTTGTGTATTCACATTATATTGCCTCTAGAATTAAACACAAAACAAAATAGCACCATTTTAATGGCTATCAACTTGAATTAGGAAAAAAACATCCATATTTAGATGTGCCTAATTTGAGCTGGGCCCTATAATGTGATACGTACTGTGTAAGTCATCTGTGGATGGCAAATTATGTTTATACCTAGAGGTATAAATAATAAAACTAAGGTGAACTATGTAGCAAATCAATGCAAACATTTTTCCTAATATTCATTTCAATAAAAATCACAATGTCATACGCTGTTTTTTAAATGCAGTTTGAGAGTTGGTCTGCATCCCAAACTGGTTGGTTTAATTGCAAGATAGGACTGATATCCACATTGAATCTTATATATGTAGGGGCTGCTTCATTTTCATTCTGTCACTTACAGGGAGCCTTATGGATAATGAGGCGAGATTAACATCTAATAAATAATAAAATAAGTGCAATGGATTTTCCTATTGTTTGCACAGTTCATTCCTAGCTAAAGAAGAAGATCAATAGTTTTAAAAATATGCATAAGAGGTTCCATGAAACAGGCCCAGTGGAGCTGCTCTATGGCATCTGATAGGGTCAGATTGTCTCCTGAGACACCACCAGTGTCCAGATAATGTTGGAATTGGCCTTTCTCTCCTGAAGCCTGCATCTGATTACTTTAACAAAGGGGCAGAGAATGATTTTTCCATGCCTCTCTGAGCATGGTGAAAGGAGCAACCTTTCCCTGGCACAGAAGTCACAGGAATGCAGGCAGTGCTATAGTGGTGCCAGAGGTCACAGGGATACAGTGCTGGCTTTTTTGTATTTGTCAGGACCATAGTCACCTTCCATTCCTTTCAGGATTATCTGTTCCCACTTAGTCTAGCTGTAGTCTTAACAGTTGTTTGTGATTTTTCAGCAAAATATATTGTTACTTCTTGTAATACAAAGTATTTTATGGTGGCTTGGTTTTGAATGGCTAAATATGACCCATTAACTTTATGAAAGATCTGCTTCTAGCAATGGAATTGGTTTGTTGATGTGCTCAGCACATCCACTTGTAATTTAAGAATCTCCTGGCAACCTGGCTGTAGGGATTGCCATGGTGAATGCATATGCTTCAAAATGTACCACTGTACCCTGGACTGTGCTCAAGAGATACTGTATTTCTCTGTCACTGAGCATAAAATTCATCTTTGATCTGAAGAAAGATTGCCCTGTTCCATACAAAAGAGAGAGAGACTTTCTTGAGACCCCATCTTTTCAGCATTCAATAAACACTGACTTTGGCACTGAGCACTAGTTGGGCCTTGGGAGAAGAGCAATGCCAACAACAGAAGCTAGTGGCCTGGATGGGGAGCCCTCATAGACTGGATCTGGTCTGTGGCTGGAAGTTTCTCATCCTGTAATAAGTAATGCAGTACTGGCTTTTCTTATTATAAATGTGCACTTTATCTACTAAAATTTGCTGTCTGCACTTGCTATTTTAGTGTATGAGCAAATTTCTTTGGCTGTTGTATTCCATTTACAAAATTAAGTCACTGAACACGAACACAGTGGGACTAGCTTTTGAGCCAAAATGCATAAAACCATTCTGTAATATCAGAATCTGGAGTACGCAGTATAATAGTTTGTGCAAGAGCTGGCCTCTTTTCTTCAAATGGTTTTATTAAAAGTTTTTCTGATATTTTCAGTACAGGAGATACAATGCAAATGTAGGATACATCCTAACTGTTCTCCTGAATTATATTTTATAAATATTGTCTCTATAATTAGTACATTTTAATGTCTCACAGGTATTGAATATATGCTGCTTCTCCTGAGTTAATTTTTTATGTTTTTTTAGGCTTTATGTGGCACTTCAGTCAATGTACCAACAATAGAAGGTCGAACCATACCTATGACAGTAAATGAAGTTGTGAAGCCTGGTATGAGAAGAAGAATCATAGGATATGGATTACCATTTCCCAAAAATCCTGAGCAACGAGGTGACTTAATTATAGAATTTGAAGTAATCTTCCCAGACAGTATAGCTCCAGCGTCAAAAGAAGTACTCAGGAGAAATCTTCCTGTTTCATAAGAAATGTACTTTAGTGAACTGTTCCAAAAGGAAACTGAAAATTAAGACTTTCAGGTTTATGCTGTAAAAGTGCAATCTATAACTGTGGAACTTTTATTGTTTGTGTGTGGGTGGGAAAGGGAATTATGCAGTGCTGCATGAGAATACAAGGAGAAAATAGAAAAATTTGCAATCAAGCATAAAACTAAACCACTTGCTATGTATGGGATCTTCCCTTTCAGAACATTTTATTCAGTATTTGCTTATATGTAACATGTAAAATTGGGGGAGGAGAGACCCTCCCATGCATATCTTTCAAATGAAGTGCTTAACTTTCAAAGCACTTTCAGATATTTCTTGATTGTCTATGTGATATATTTTAATTCATATGAATCTATGTAAGGTTTGTAAAGCTTATGTTTATATACCCATAAACTCTGTTTATATTGCACACAGCAGAAGGCAGGAAATCTCACTTGAAATGTTCATGAGCCCCAAAAAAGATGATAGTGTTTTAGCAGTAAGCATGCAGGTCTGATGGAAATTCCAAGGTGTACTTTTTGACTTAGTGGATTTCAAGATAGAAACAGCCATCAAAACAGTTGCTTTAATGTCCCTTGGAACATATGTGCAAAATATGTAGCCTGTCTGCTGAGGAAACATATCAGGGGATAGGCTATCTGAACAACTGTCAAGACAATTAGCTTTTTTTTTTTACAACTCCAGTGTTTTCAAGGTTTAATTTTCTTGTATATTCTATGAACAGTAAATTGTTTAAGGTAAAATAACTGAAACATTTGTCAATCCACCCTGAATTATCTGAAGGAAGATATAAGAATGGGAAAAAAGCCCTCAATCTAGCTTTCAAAAAGACATCTATAGGGCTGGTACCCTTGGATGGCAAAATAAGACTACTAAACATACTTTCAACATTTGTCTTGAAACATGCTGCAATATATTAACATTTATAAATCATATTTTATTTTTTCGTATTAGTTAGAACAAGTGTGCTAGGTAGCTGCACTGTTAACTGACAGGATGTTAAGAACAGTACAAGGTTATAGCAAATGTAATATACAAGAGAGATATAACCATTTTAGGGGGGAACAAACATTTTAAGAGCTACACACTGGAGTGAATTGGCAACTTTTTCATAGGATGAGATAGAAACAACGTCATTTGTAGACTACAATGGCAAATGATCCAGAATGCTGGTTTTCATGACACTAGAAGTGGGAAAGTAGAAAACTTCTGCTTTTTCTTTTATGCTTATTGTTAGAGCATTTAAATATCCTTTATGGTATGTATTGCATTTCATATTTTTTTAATTAAAATATTGTTTCTAATTTGTCTGTCTTTCTGGATATGCAATAAGAATAGAGGAAAGTTATATTGAACAGTTTGTTCAATCGTAACATATAGCTGCAGTATTAAGGCCATTATCCCATTCACCTTTCCTTAAGAATAAGTTTCAATGAATTTGGTAGGACTTAATTTGATTTACAGTGCATTTGGCTGTATGTTTTTCAACATTCCAAGTCAATAACTGCAGTAAAAAGAAGTAAAGGGTTTTTTTTTAAAAAGCAGTATTTAGACAGAAAAAAGTTCTACAGTGCCCATTATTTCCCAGTTAGCATGATGCTTATTCAAAATGAGTTCAAAGGTCAAGTGAAAAGTATATGTAAAAATAAGGCAAACTTGTATACATTAAATTTTTAATACTAGCCTGTACAGTATGTGACCCAGTAAAACAATGCAAGCTCCCTGCCATGATTGTAGTTTCTCAAACAAACTCATTACATTTGCTTAACATGAGAACCCATTAAAAGTTGCTAGCTGTGATGGGCTGTCATTGTCATACAACCTGGGCAGATTTCCCAAGGTGGCTTCTTCATGACCAATATCACCTCACTAACCCATTGACTGTTCTAAGGATTGTTGTACCTATGGGAGGTTGCATATCGTCTGATCCAGAGTTACTCTTCACATTGTGGATATGGGGAACTGGCTCTGGAAGCACGTCAAGAGAAGTAAAAACCCTTGCCAGATGGCTCCCAAACAATTATCAGTACCAGCCATTCTGAAGGTTTCCAAGTGGCAGCTGACATTGGTTCCCCTTCCACTACAATTGCAAGCCATTTGGGGATTGCTGTGTGTGCATTTTTCTTTTACCCTGAGAGCAAGGTTTTGTGATTCGCATTTGACAGGCACAAAGAATCCATGTGGCACCTGGGAAGGATACTGTATGGCTGTCAGAACCTTTCCCCTGCCACAAAAAAAACCCTTTTTCTACTTTTAAACCTGTGTTTACCCACACTGACACAACCACAGCAATTTGAAACCTTGGCTGGGGCAATGTCAGGTGCGGAGCGCAATGTATGCTGCCGCATTGTTAGGGACTGGAAGGCATATTGAAGATGTCCAGTCTCTAGGTCACTGTTTTGTATTCCATATTTATTAGCATATTCTTGTTAGGATTTGGACTAATTCAGTCTTTGTACCTTGGAATAGTTCACTTGGTACCCTATCTTTCTCAACTAGCTTTCCCTAGAAGCAAAAATAACAAAACTGCAGCTGTCATATATCATGAGAAGGCAAGACTATCTGGAAAAGACAATTATGTTAGGGAAAGACAAAGGCAGTAAGCCACAGCAGGGCTCTCAAGGACAGTGTTTGGAAGGTGATCACTGATAAGGTTTGTCATATGTCAGAGATAACTTGATGGCACATAAGTCATAACTCTAGAATGTTCTTTCACAATAATGCTTAAAGCTTTGCAAAATAAAATACCACAAAACATTTGAGAATTCAGAAGGCCTTAAAAAGCTTTAACAACATAAATTCTTGACTTGAAAGCCAAGAAAACCTAAATTTCATGTTGCAATGATTAGAACAAATCATGCCAATTAAGAAATTACCTAGGAAAGGACCATCTCAAATATACTACTTTACAGAAGTTGTATATCTTGATTATCTTGTTCTCATAATGAATGCAATCGCAATGATTTATGATCCAGTGAGTGCTCAAAAAGCCAGTTAATTTGTCAGTTGCTCCCCTCACTATATAATTCTAAATTGCACTTGTATGACCATATACGGAGGTAATGTATGCATGCTTTGCTCTGCTGTACCTGCCACCATCATTGATACATGGCTTAGCCACCAGTCTTTCTATCTCAGGCTTCCCACTTCTCAATAGAAAGCTGTGACCTGCTTTCTTTCCTACCACCTTGCTCTTGTAAAAACAATATGTCAACCAGTCTATATAGATGTCCCCCATGAGGTTATTAGTGTTGGTGGCAATTGATTTAAGGATCCCCCCCACCTTGTCCTTTTCTTTCATGTTTCAGTCTGTACTCTCTTATACTGCGTTTGTAATTAACATGTTATGAATGCAGTATGATCCAGTAACTCCAAACCATGATCTTAGTCCCATGCCTCTATATAACCCAGTCTGTATGCCAGATTTTTTTTTTCAAATTGATCAATACCCTTGCTACATGTATCTCTTTCACTAGTTCCAGCTCCAAATATTACAGGATTTCTTGCAGCCAGATCTTTTAGGCCTGTTTCCTGTATGATATGAATGATCTCACTTGCTTATTCTAACTAGATAATTTTATGAAACCTGTCACATCTGGTGGGTCACAAGTTACCTATCCCTACAGCAGTGAGTTGGACAAACATTCCATATATGGAGCTCCTGCCAGCACAGGCATGCAAGAATGGGAAAGTAACACTTGCTAAATTTCAGTTGCAACTGTAGTATGCATCTTAACTTTGTGAGCAAATGGCTTCCCCTTTTCATCTGGAAACTCACCCTCTGTTATCCTTTTCTTCATATTCACCAAACAGATTCTGTGTTGCCTTTCAGTTTTCTAACAAGTTCTCTCTCGCCCTTTCAACTTTTTCTCAAATAGCTGCTTCCATCATGCATCCATCCTTCAAACTTTCACCAACATCCTTTATCTTCTGTATCAAACTGTAAGGAAGCAGGCAAAGAGGTGTATGACTCAGGGTTTAAACTGCAAAATCATATAATGTAATGGAACACTGAGAAACAGCAGTGAAATGTATATGAGCATTCCATAATCTCCAGCAATTCAGCCAAAAACTCAGAAAAAGGCAAATAGACTCAGGCAATAGCCATTTTATAACTTCTTAAAAAGTGGCTATTCTTATTACAAACAAAGCAATGTCTTATATTTGAAAACATTTTTAAAGAAATAAATTAGGCCATATATTTTAGAAGTAGACCACTAGGAGGGGGACTCCTTTGAGCCACATTCTGATATGGAATAACCTTAGACCTGAGGTCTATTCTCTCCATTTTAGAGCAATAAAACTAAACATTTTTAAAAACCATCATAATGACTAATAAATATTAATCAACAACATCACATCAGAATGTGAAGTAAGTATATAAAACTATGGAGCCTAGGATTCTTCACACACACATACACGCACACTGGCTGCGCAGCTGTAATTTATACTGAATGTCAGTAGGAATACTTTATATGTCCCTGAAATGTTTGTATGCTGTTGCATTAGCTTCACACTAACTTTATACAAACTTAGATTATGTTTCTCTGTTGCCAAAAACACAAACAAACCACTATACAGGTAATTGATATGATAGTTATTTCATACACAGACAGTGAGTGTGGCACTTTACAGAGTGCAAGAGGTCAGGTCCCAGTCTCTGCTTGGAGTTGTTTACAAGGTAAATCAAGTAAAATCATGTACCCAAGTTTCTCAGCAATGTGAAGGTGCAAAGTATGTTTATTGCAGCAAAGAGGTTAAGTAAATAGAACAAACTGGCATTTACCAGCATAGGGCAAACCAAAGAAGAAAATTGGATTGAAAGACCGGAGAAAAGTGGGTGTTTCAAGACTTTGATGCATGCTTTCTCAAACCCTACTATGACCAACAATGCCTTAGCTTAGGCTTTTACTGTGCCATTATCCTTTTGCTTTAATGGAATTTTACAGGAGTTGAGATGAGAACAACTTTCACTTGTGATTCCCCTCACCATTTGTTCTCACTTTTTCTTTACTGCAGCAAATCCATTAAAAAAAATGTTACACAGAACCTTCCAGTTGGTAGTGCTAAGAACCTTCCATCAGAAAGCAACCTGTCTACATACATGTCATGGAAGTGACATTTTGCTTGCTTATTTGTTTACTCATGTCCGTTTTCCTCCTCCCGTGCTGAATGATTAGCTGCAAGCCTTCCACCTATCCTTTAGCACTCTGTGAAGTACCACGCATACAGACGATAACAGGTAAATGAAGAAGCAAGCATAGTGCAGTCCTTACTGTTCACATAGCACTAAACAATGCGGGTGCCTCAAGTTTGTGGTGTACATGCGAAATTCTAAAATTGAAATTGCTCTAGAATACTCTTGTAAGCTAAAACACGCACACAAACTTAGATGTCTACATTTGAATTACAAAAGTAATTGCAAGAGAAAGGGACGAGAGAATGAACAAGGAGGAAGTGGTGCACAAAATGAGTCACATAAAGGAGATCTAGGGTGTGTGAAGTATTATTCAAGTATGTAAGGAATTCTTGGATTTCCACAAATTCTCTTGTTCGGCCCTCTTTCACAGGATGTTCCTCTGCTGAACTGTTTACAGCGAATACAATTTTGATACATCCTCCTTGCAAGCCAGGGGTTCGTGTACTTGCGAGACGTCTCTCCCTCCCGCGTCCGCTCCCCTCTGCTGTGCACTTTAGCCTGAAATGTTCATGCAAACAAGTCCTGTTTTGAGGAGAACGCAGAGAACGCTGCTGCTCAAAGACAACCGCTTTCCTAAACCCAGGCAGTTAGTTAGTTAGTCATTAGGGTAGTTCTAACCCGTCCATTACGGTTCGTCTCTGGACGACTTACAGTATAAAATAATAGTAATCGTAATAGTAACACCGTTGGCTTTTTGCTTGTGATTCACATTCGCACACTAGCAGCATGCATGCATCTAAGAAGATCCACTAAGAGCAGCATACACTTAGCACTGCAATTTCATTATGTACCACGAAACATCTGCTAGTGTTTAAGGTGTCAAAGAAACCTCTGATTTCAGTGGGGCTCCTCTTTTCCACTGAGGCCGCGCATGCACTAGACCAGATTTTTGGGTGCGGAGCGGGCTGTTGTTGGTCTCCAGCCACCCGGCTCATGGTCTAGGCTGATGAGAGCTGTAACCTAACAGTATGTGGGGGGCCGCAGGTTTCCCGCCTCATACTAGCCAGTAAGCCCCTCAGAGTAAAAGTGGAGGTACTTCCGAATAAATGAGGATCGCTTTCTAAGGTAAGCGTTGCGGCAATCTAGGGCTAGAGCCCCTGCCGGGTTTGCGCAGAGCTGGCACCCTGTGCAGCAAGCAAGAGGACGCGGGAGAGAGTGAGCAGAAGCCAGCCGTCGTCAAGCCTCGGGCGCGAAGTTTCCCAGGCGGAAGGCGCCTCTGCTCATTGGCTGCCGGGGCCACCACCTGGCCGCTCGGCGCGGGGACCGGGAGTGCGCCGCCCGAGGGCAGAGTCCGAGCGGGGCGAGGAGAGAGCAGCAGCGCAGGTGCCGCTGGCCGCGGGTCGGTGGCTTGCTTCCTCGTCGGCGCGTGCAGGCGGGCGAGCGGAGGATGCCGCTGGGGCTGAGGGGCAAGAAGAAGGGCAAGTCCAAGGAGACGTCCACGCTGGTGGAGGGCGAGGCGCCCTTAGCGCGAGGGCGAGGCGACGACCGCGAGGACGACAACGCGAGCGCCCCAGCCGGGGCGGCCGCCGCCCCCGCGCGCCCGGGCCCCGTGCGGCTGGTCTTCCACGCGCAGCTGGCGCACGGCAGCCCCACGGGGCGCGTGGAGGGCTTCGGCAGCGCGAGGGAGCTGTACGCGAAGATCGCCGACGCCTTCCACATCGCCCCGGCCGAGGTACGTGCCCGACTGGCCGGGCGCCTGCGAAAGAGGCCCGCCTGCCACTCCTCGGGACGGGCATTCGTTCCGGCGCGGGGTGGGTGTCACCTTTCCAGCGAGGCGCCGTAGGTCCTCACCTGCTGCTCCCCGCCTCCCTTCCCTTCGCTCGCAACTTTCCAGTGCGCTTTTCTCAACCACTCTTGGCTTAGCTGCTGTTCTTTGTCGTCGTGTCACATCCATGCCTGGATGGGCTCCGAATTGTGCTTTTTGTGTAAAATCTGCACCAGCAAGTCAAAGAGACGGTGACTTGTCCCGCATTGTACAAAGCACAGAGGGATTCCTCTCACCGCCTTTCCTTTCCGTTCATGGGGGAAGCAGACAGAAGGAGTGCTAGCAGAGGATGATTTCTGAAAAAGAGGAAACGTCGATTCAGGAACGGCTCAAAGAGGCAGCCTGTAGTTATTGGGAAAGAAGTTTAGTGATATATTTAAGTTACTTATTTATTACGTTTCTATAATGACCAGCAACTGAAGTTCCTGTGTGAGTCATAAAATAAACTTAAAACGATAGCATAGTAAGAATGAGCATGAAACGCAAAAGATGGAAATAAATGTACCCCCCCCCCCCCGCTGAGAAACACACCCACTTCTCAGCCTTATTTCAAATATTTCAGAACCTTGATGTTCATTTTCCTGGTGAGTACAAGCTTGGAAAGAAGACAGACACAGGGGATGATACTGATCCCTCCTAGTTTAAAAACACACACACATACATGTTGCTAAAATCATAGTGTCTTTGAACAGATGAAGATTGCATTTCTTGGTGTACACCAGTGTTTAACCCTGTATCACACCCCTATAATTATCAAATAGCAGTTCAAGGCATTTTTGGATTCATTATGGGAATCACATTGCCAGGATTGTACAAAGCCCATCACAACATGAACACTGCAGTTCTAGGCATCTACTCGGAAGTAAAACTGACATTTAAGTAAATACGCTGCAATTTGCAGACTGTGAACTTCAAGTTAGATGGTTCTTAGAATGAAGAATCAAAAGTCCTTGTGTGACTTGACCTCTTCTTAAGGGATTTTCCGCAATAAGGAAATATGGAAGAGATAGTGAGAAAACATGGGAAGATTACAATTGGAAGATGTTATCATTTGGGCCCTATTCAAAATTTGGTGTATGAGAAATGGCAGTTCCGGGACAAAAGCCTCACCTTGAGGCCCCTTGCTTTTTCTCTTTGTTATACTTTTGTTTTAGCCTTAAGGTAATCAGTTACTTGGAGACACAGCTCCGGCCTGGAGCTAATGATGAATTTGGTGTAGATGTTGTGCATTAATCACTCTTACATAGTCCTGCTTTTTTCCAGGATGGGAACTACATAAAAGTAGTAAAAGTGTGGATATCCCTTCATTTTTTTACTATATACCCACAGATGATTTCAATCAGAACTGGAAGTCTGTATGGAACTGTAGGTAGTAATTCTATATAATGGTTTTTAATATAGCACCAGACATAGTAGTTTAGTAATGCTGTTTATTGAAGAGTACAGATGTTCAGAGGCTACCCAACTCATTATGGTGTTTGAGCTGAAAATGCAAATAATGTTATTGCCTTTCCCAGTTAAAAATATAATAATGAATGCCTACTATTAATAATTTGCTGCCTTTTGATGACACAACAAAAATCTGCCAGTTGAGATGAGTTGCCTCATCAATCATAATAGCTGGAAATTTCTGCAGCTATTATTTTGAAGAGAATAAATGTATGCACTTTGAGGACATTACTCAGAACTAGACATGGTCCTTTCCAGTACAGTCTACCAAACTGCTTCAATCAAGACCCAAGAGCAATGGCATTAGTTTCTTTATCCAAGTGGTTAGAATTATCCTACTTGTGTAGCTTTGAGCGTTGAAAAAGAACCAAGTCTGAATACATGTAATTATATTCCTGCCTACATGATCATTTTACCTTGGCATTGGAGCTACTTAAAATAGTATCTCTTCTTTATTATCACAAAGAACAATAAAGTCTTTGAAAGGTAGTGAAGTTTTCTCTGCTGACAAGGAATTGCAAAAGTTATTTCATACCAGCCACATGGACCTGGCTCTTGCACACTGTCGCAACAGTAGTTTCCCACACACAAAATGAAGCAATTCTTCTAATTACTTAGTTTATTGACTAGGCTTAAAGGGACTAGCAATTGGCATTTTGGAAATTAAGAGTTCAGAGTAGATTTAGGTAGAAAAGCATTCAAATATATACAGTTGTTTTGCACCTATAATTCTGGTTGTATGTAGTTCTGTATGTCTATTTAAAAGTCCAAGAATACAACCAGGCTTATGCTTCAAGCATTCCTGTGTTGCAGGTGGGTAACTCCTGCTCCAGGCAACAATGAAATTTCTTGCAGTCACCTCTGTTGTTATAAGCCCCTTTTTTCATCTTATGAGGGAAAAGGATTAATTTATTAGAATGAATGTAGAAATATATTTGCTCAGAAATTGTACCATGTTCTGTATCTGGTGATTGCTTACTTGTTTCAATTTGAATTATAATTATATTTAATCATTTTGCACTTGTTTAAAAGGACATTACATTATTTAACACACCTTTTGCAAATGAAGAAAAGGCACTTACAACCTGCATATTACTGATGCTACTTATCAATACCCTCTGTGTGCATCATTTTATATATTGTATATTGGAAAAAATGATAGTTTATTGGCTTCTTACATCAATAGAGTAGTACCAATTTGTTTGGAGGAGTATGAGAAAGGTGAAATAGCATAGAGGCCAAGACTACAGACTGGGAGGTCCATAGTCTTCAATTCATTACAGCTGCGAACACACTTAGGATTCCATAAAGTGGTAAGACTCGGTTGTACCCAATGGTGTTTGTCTTCAGTGCAACACTGACTGGAATTATTCTCTCTTCCTCTTGTAGACCCCCTGTGCCTACCCAAATTTGCTCCAGAGGGTTGGGCGATCCCCTCTGAGCAGGTAGGGGGCCAAAAGGACAGCAGGAAGGAGAGGAAAGAAAAGTCATACTGTGTGAGTGAAAGTTCACTCCTGTGATATTGGTTGTAAGCATAAACATCAGTTGAGTATGAAGCGGTTTAAAAAAAAATTCAGTGTACATCTGTTGGTCCCGTCAGTTGTTAAAATCAGCAAAACTACCTCTTGACAGTGACTACTTCATATTCCATATGTTTAAACACACATATGTACCATTATAATATTTGCCCCTGAGAATATATGTGAAGCACTTGGAATACTGGAAATATGGCATGTAAAAGCCTTGTGTGTTGTGAGTATGTTACAGTTCAATTCCTGAGAAAATGGAAATTCTTCTTTAAGTTGGATTTGTATGTAAGTCAGATCACATAGGGGAGTTAGGTTGAAATTTTAGGTTGAAATTTAGGGGAGTTAGGGGTGTGGAACTCTGATAAAAGTAGAAAAACTGTAAATATCTCAACACCCCCCACACCGCCACATTTCAGCAGTGCTATCTCTCTGTGGCAAGGAAATGTTGGAGAGATTTCCCTCTCCAGAGGGTAGGACAGGAAGGCATGCTTTGGAGCTGTATCCTTTTGTATCCCCCTTCTCTCTCTCTCTATGGTGTATCTCCCTATGTATCCTCTCTCTATGGTGGTGATGATTTTCCACAGTAATTGTTTAAAATTAATAGACTTTATGTCAACTTGTTTGAAGTATGAATATTTTGTAAGTCAGGGATTCCCTGCAAGGTATTTATTTATATAACTGATGATAATTAATTAAAATATATCATTCATTTCTTTATTTTATCTGTACCCTGCCTTTCTATAAAAATGGCACTCCGTGCATCATATATAATCAATTAAAATTGACTCAGTGCATTAAAATACAATAAAAGCATGACAATCACAGGGGAATATATTAAAAACTATATCTGACCCAACCGATGCATGTATCGGCTAAAGGCCGCCTTACATGAAGTGGGGATTTTTTTCCTGATGGCAGTAAGACAACAGAAAGCAAACCTAGCCTGTCTTGGGTGGGAATTCCATAGCCTGGGAGTAGCCACCAAAATACCCTTTTTTGGGTCATCACCAAACATGTTTCTGATTATGATTAATTCTGTGACTTATATTTGTATTTTTATCATGCATACTGTAGTTTTCATGAAAAGCATATATTCTTATTGAAGCAAGTATGATTTCCTGACATAAAGTGGCCATATCTTTCCATGGAACTTCTTTGTCAACATTGAACTATGAATTATAATTAAACAGAATTTGTAAGAGATGACTTGCAGATGAGATACAAGCTGGTAACATTCACCATGATTAATGGTAAAATGTTCCTGTTTATAGGAGTAAGAGAAAAAAATCAAAATGATATGAATGTTAAGTTGCTGTATTTGCAGAGAATTCTGTTATTGTTCTGTACTCAGTTATAGGATCTCCACTTTTCAGAGTCATCATTGATGATAATGGGCTCAAGTGAATCTACCGGAGCTGTTCAATTTCTAGAAAATAAATAAGTGCTCACTTTTAAGATAGATAAATTGCAGAAAGCTACATGTTTTAATTAAGACCTCTCCTTGGCATCTCAGATTTCAGAATAGTTTTTAGGATGCTTTGCATGTATTTGTAAATTCATTTATCTCTTTCCTGAAGGATGGTGATTATATGCAGCTATGCCTCTGTGCATTTTTACTGTTATTATTATTAAGCTGAATTCAATTTGATTTCCTGTAGACCTTGTGGGGATTACTTAATTCACTAACGTGTCACTAACTCTTTATAAAGGTGAGAGTGGACATATTGTGAAAACAATATACCTAGTTACTCAGTTCCATTAGGTAATTATGCAGTATTGTTTCCATTCCTCTGCATATCAGTTTCAACCTTCTCTGTTTCTTGTTGAACTTGTGCCTGTTTCTGCTTCTCCCAGTAACTATCTGTCTGTATTTCATGCCATTTATTTCTGAATTTACCATAACTAGCTGGTGTAGTCTGGATCACACCA